GGGGCGGGGAGCGGGAGGAGGACGATATGTACATATGAAAGATCAGCCATCTCCTCCCAGTGCATACAAAAACTCCTCTCACTCCTGGAGAGATTTCTTGTCAAGGAAAATTAAAGTGCCTCTTTGAGAGCTAGCTCCTGAATGAAAGTAGACTCTGGGAGGAAGAGTTACCTCCTGCCCTCTCCAGACCCTAGCGAAATCTCTCTGCTGTGCAGGGGTGCTGGTTACTCTTTGAGGGGCAGGGCCCAGACACAGAGATCTGAAATTTCAAAAATGCGATAAAGTCCTAGCCCGTCATCCCTGGGAGGCAAGCAGCTGCTGGGTGACCGCTGATGAAGTGGCTTCTTAAGGAGCTGGGCAGATTGATTCCAGCTGCTGAGCGAGGGGCAGGGCAGTGGCCGCGGAATGCGCAGCCAGGCTGGGGCGAGGGGCAGCAGCAGCAGCTTCCCAACCAAGGGCAAGGCCAAATACTAGCAGTTTTGCAGTCTTGGACTAAGAGAGGAAGAATGTCATTGTTCAATCTGATAGGACTTTCAAGGCAAGCTAGACCAAAAGGTGCCATGTGGACAGTGTCATTTTATAAGAGGAGTGTCTCTCAGGAAGTCGGAAAGCTGTCCTCTGAGACGTCTGCTCAGAAGGAGCCCACAGTTCCTAAGGTGAATCCTTTCTGCCTGATTCCTGTTTTTCTCCCTCAAACACTCCCAGCTCCTGGCCCTCTTCTAATAGCTCTTAACCGCTGCCCAGACTCCTTTGCCCCCTTTCACTCCCCCCCCCAAAACATAGTAATCAATACAGAAGAAAAACAGACAAGGAGGAGCCCTGGATTGGATGGTGACCAGACAAGAGAACATGCTCCTTAGAAATGGTCACCTCAAAGTCAGAGAGTTAAGAAGGCGGAACTAATTTAGGGGTCCCCTGAGCCCCAAACCCAGACATCAAGTGATGTAAGAAGAGGGAAGGGGTAAGAGGTAGGCGGGCATGAAGGCACGCCTAATGGAATATTCAATATCCTGCAAAATGCACTTTCGGCCATGCACTTCCAGAGACTAAAAGCCAGTAATGGGCTTTGGAGTCTGCACTTCCTCTCCCTAATGTCCAGAGGCGCTTTAATGCTGCAGCCAATCGATCAGCCTTCTCCGGTGCAGGCAGCGAGTGGAGTGCAAAAGCTTTCCTACTTGTGGCCACAGTCGCCCGGCCTCCTCTGCACACCTCGAACAAGCGACACACAACTTTGAACTGGCAGGATTTGGCTCCTAAAGTGCCCAGGAGGAGGAAAGGAAGGAGTCCGGAGGCGCCTGGAGAAACAGTCCCCTCCCTCTTCATCCCAACTTTTCCAGGGAGAGATTCAAAAGGAAGACAGACCAGGAAGGGGCATTATCCATCCTGGGACAGGGCTGACCTGAAACCTCAAACCTACTTCAGGTCCAAGGTCACTGAGCCAGCCACCTCCAAGCCCAGGCCAGCCCTAGGTGTGGCACTTTTGGAAGGGATTCAAACAAAGCAAAAGTAACACTCAGAAAGTGGGGTTTTTTTTTGTTTTTTTTTTGAAATTTCTTGCTGACATCATAGCTGCCTGGAAAGTGACCCTGTGAATAAACCTCCCAGTCCTGCCATCCTCGAGGCCGGATCCCTAAAGCAAGGAAGAGTC